ACTTACTTTTTGCATACATCATTGAGTTCTTTGGAATATGTTTTTGGAAGTTCAGGAGGTTTTCCTTCAACAACTTTATATATAACATTCATAAGGCCTTTACCATCGAAGGCATGTTCATTAGTACACATTTCATATAATAAACAAGCAACAGACCTAAAGGAAATGTTAAGAAATCTTATTCAATATTTTCATACCAAATATCTGATTTTGCTTCATATCCATCATGTTTCATAACTTCAGGTGACATATAATATCTTTAAAATAAAATATTATAAATTTATTAATAAAAATTAAATTCTTATATATACGGCGTTCCAGTAAATGTTGTAGCAACATCCATGGTACCAACTAGTATTCTACTTATACCAAAATCTCCAATTTTAATTTTATTAGATTTAAGAAAAATATTTCTTGCTTTTAAATCTCGATGTAATATTCTTGATTTATGCATATATTGTACAGCAATTAAAATTTGTATTAACCATTCAATAACTTGATCTTCTTCTAATGTACGTTTTTGTTTTTTTAATTCTTTTAAACGTTGATCAAGATCACCACCTTCACAAAATTCTGTTACAATACATAGACAATCATTTTCAACAAAACTTTCATGAAACTAAATTAAATAAATAGTTTAATTTGAAAACAATGATTTCTTCTTTTTCGTTTTTTACTTTAACAATATGTTCATTATCTAATTTTGCTAAAAGTTCAGCTTCACGAACAGAATCAACTGCTTGTTCACTATCCATTTCACCTAATCGAACAACTTTCAGTACTTTTCTAAAAATATTATAAAATATATAGATATACATTAGAGACATGAAAATTCACATATTCATACGGGTCATTTTTGACTTTAAGATCAGTGACAAGATAAGCTGTACCAAAATTTCCAGCACCAAGTTTTTTATCAACTTTATAACGTTTTCTATACAGCTGCGGTTCTTCCTTGTCACCCATTTTTATAATAATCTGAAACAAAAAGAACATATTAATTATATTTAGTTTCTAAGCAAACATTATTGTGTGTTATTTTGAATATATGGTTTTATATTTCTCTTTTGATTATGGGCATATTCTTTGCCATGTGTATGTATTTTCTGTATATTTACTTTTGTCTTTATGTTTTGTAACAATATTCACGAAAATATTGTCATAAAATACATCCATATATCATCGATAAAACTGTCACTGAATAATTTATTTTAAAAGGAGAAAACTCTTCATTTTTCTAACAAAATCAATTATACTATACCTTCTTTTGAGTTTTAACAATAAAAAAATGAGTTACGCTGCCGAAAGAAACACTTCATAGAGTGATAGTAAAGATGAAAAAAAAATAGAAAAAGAGTCATTTCGTATGACGTTGTTGTTCGCAGCACTCTGTTTTTTTTCTGTTCTTATTATTTGAAGATAGATGACTCTTGCTGTTGATGAACTGACAAAAAGAATTC